GACCGTTTTGTTTTCCATACTCTCTTTACATCCCCGATATAAACATTGTCCCGGTCACACACCACAAACAGTCCCAGTTAAGTCTTGTCTTTGTGCACAAAACGCTTAAGGTGGTTCTATAAAGTAGCTCTACACCAAAACACACAGAAGTAAGCAGCAGCAGTAATGACTGGCATGTCCTGTGTACTGCAGGTTTATGTATCAAGCTACAAACACTCACTACACGGGCTGTCTGGATGGTGCCCAGCTATTCTACTCATTCCATCTCGGTGGCAATCTGTTCTGTCAACAACATCCTTGTTTTCCAACATTTTGCAGAGGAGACAAGTGACAAGAAGAAGCTAATTAATCAAACAATCATCTTGTGATTATTACGCTCTCACTTCCTCAGGTGCCGCATGCTGCCTCTCCTCAGGAGAGCAATATATCAGCTAGATGGAGGAGGTCAGTCAGCACAGACCGCCAGCATCGCTTGACTCTCTCGAAAGGAAAGATATTAAATGCACACGGGGCGGCTTCTGGCAGTGTGGACTGAGACAAGGTGTTAATTGATTAATGTGGAATCAGAACGCTAGGGCCCAGCCAGTTTACCACCCTCATTAGACAGATGAAAGGCTTGTTTATTAGCTCAGCAGTCACGAGACAACTACTAAAAATCACAGTAATATATGCAATGGGAGCTGACAGTGGTCCTGTATGGTGATGGACAGGAGAGGAATGTGTGTGCGGTATACTGTATCGGAATATCAGTGGCTTTGCTTGTAAAGATAATAATAGGTGGTTGTTAAAGAAATGGGACAATGACGGCATGTGTCATTCAAAAGGAATAAGCTACCTTTAAAGCATAAGAGATCAAAGACTGCAGAGTGAAGCAGCTAAAGTAGAAGAGATACCAACTGCCAACATTCCAACATTCCTCATGAGAGCTTATGCCAGTGGTTCCCAAACCATTTTTGCTGGGCCCTCCTTTGTTTTACAAGAAAAACAGTTTTACATCTCCAAAATGTCAGGAGTAGTTCGTCATCATGTTTGTGAACTAAAAATCAAGAATGTGGGATTCTGTTTGTCCGTGATTTGAAGAGCCCAGCGCTGCTCCCGACGAAGGGAAAGCCAGGCAGGCAGGGAGACCTACTTTGGCACTTGTGCAGGTGAAACCAAAGGGAAGATTTGCTTCATCATATTTTCTAGTCTTTGGCTTAGAATGAAGTTGGTTTGGAAACATATTCAGCGATGCTTCATCTCCTGCTCTGCGTTTGTGTGGGCGCCTGTGCTAGCAGTGTCCAAGCGTTTTGTTTTCTTTCCCCCCTTGGCTCTGCACCCCCCTTAGGGGGCGGGCCCCACACTTTGGGAAGGTCTGGCTTATGCAAACATTACAAACAGGTGGTTTTAGCATTAATTAGACAGGAAAAAGGGTGTGAAAATTGAACAGATAAAGCATTTTAATAAATTATTAACACAACATCCCACCTGTCAATCTTTCAGCCCTGCAGTGATGATTTATCTTTGGTCCAACTACAGTTAGAATCAGTCACATCTAGCTAGCAGGCTCTTGTTGCAGCACTGAATAGGGCAGTAATGTTGCACTATAAATTTGATGGGTTATGATCTATTGATGGATATCTTTTTTTTGTGGAATGAACATTTTATATATGGAAAAAAGGAACAATTATAGATCAGTGTCACAGTGCATATTATGCATTGCAAGTACATCTATGTTCTTTTTTCAGCTCTAAAAGAAATTTACAGTAGAACATCCTCACAGGGATGAAAATACAGAGAACGGTAAATAATTAATAGACTTGAAAAAGGAGTTCCATGGAAACGAATATTTTAAGAGTTTTTCTTTGGATCCACCTGACACTAATTTCATCAAGAAGAAATTGGGTTTTTTTCCTGATGCTTTTGTCAAGGATTTGTAACACACTGCAACATAAAGCAGTCTTCTAGAACACGAGTTTTAGTTTAAAATCATTTGGTGATGTCTAAAGGAAGGTTGTCACAACCAAATATTGATATTCCTTTTTGTGCTTTCCCACACGAGAGACCAGCATGAAAAAAATCTTCACAACACATAATAAAATACCCACATGACTTCAAAGCTCTGACCCAAAATATCCATTCAGTCATCTCTTGGTGCATGATGGAAATTCGATATCTCCCTTTCTTACATTTCAGTGCAATGCTGGTGCTACTTACAGGTTTTCTTTCACAGTGTTTATCGTTTCTGATGGTGAACAGCACAATACATACAATAAATACTTTACGTGTGACTAAATAAGCTTGAACAACGTCACAATGTAAAAAATGTTTGAATAAACATTAAAAAAAATCAACACACTTTTAAGTTTTGTTTGCAGTGTAGAAAAGAAGGTTGTTTTGTTTAGCTGACCATCCTCAATATTAGCATTTATGCTAATGCAAACCTCAGTGCAAGCAGTGGCAAATATTTAGTTGCACTCATTCAGGGCTAGAAAGTATGACAGCTAAAAGGGTCTTCCAACAACAAAAGAATAAAAAATCAGGGTATATTGCTTACAGTGCATTACGCATTGAACTATGATGTGCACTAATGTGTCCTGTGCTGACATCGACATGTAATCCGATTACTTTTTTCAAATAACGAG